AAAAAATTGGATTAAAAAATTACACAAAAAATGAGGAATTTCAAATAGTTAATTTGATACTAATATCAATATATTTTTGTCAAATTTTTATGATATCGTCAAACATATATTTKATTCAAAAATAAAAACATCATCGCTTTCTCAAAATCACATAAAGTCATATTATAACATCGACTGAGATAAAGAATAAAATGAATTTAAAAACACGATGTATCTCGCTGCATTGCGCGAGTACTCTTCTAGTTATATTATAAAGCATTTGATAAAAACTCTTAAAAACTATTTTTTATGCATGAAGTGCTGTTTATTGATGCATATTACTTAAAAATCAAGATTACAAGTAAATTTTCCGTAAGTACAACTTATTAAAGCTTAATGTTTGAATTCGTGTAACTAACTATAGATAAACATAATCAAATAGAGGATAAACATTTCATTTTAAAATAAATGTAATTAGGATAATCATTGAGTTCTAATAAAATATTTAATTATTATTTTTATAAAAAAATTATATTATTAAATCAAATATAAATTACTTTGTTATTGAACTTAAATTAAATTATAATAAAAAAAATTAAATTAAAAATTATACAAAAAATAAAAAAATTTAAATAGTTAATTTGATATTAATATCGATATATTCTGTCAAAATTTTATGATATCTTAAAATCTATATTTTACTAAAAAATAAAAACGTCATCTCTTTTTCAAAATCACATAAGACCATATTATAACATCGATTGAAATAAAGAATAAAATAAAATATTTAAATCAAAATGTATCTCACTACATTGCACGAGTATCATTTCAATTACATTTAATTCCAACTGTTTTGTTTTTTATAAATTAATTATATTATTAAAATATTTAATATGATTAATGAATATTTAATTTCAAAGATTTTTATGGTTTTGAATAATTAAAAAAATCATTCTCTTGAGCATTTATTTTTATGGAGCTTTTCAAATTTATAATTATTTTTCCTTTTTCCTACTTTCTTCGTTTCTGACGAAATTTGTTGTATCAAAAAATAGTCAAAATTTTTCAAATTCTCCATTTATAAACAATCTGTTCAAATGCTCTCTAGAATATTTCCAACATATTTGTTATAATTTTTTAAAAATCGAGTATTAAAAGTCAAATTTAAAAAAATAATTACATTTAATTTCGATAGCTATTTTATATTAGCAATTCTAGTATCAATTATTTTATTACAATATCCGGTATATTTCACAAAATATTCTCTCTCCTTAATATTTTAATTTTAATAAATATATTTTATTGATGGAAAAGAATTAAAATATGATTTTATTTATCTTATAAAAGTTAAAAGTCTTAGAGATTTTCATTAAATTTAGAGATTTTCACTTTTCGCTCTTATTTTCTGTATTTTAGTATAGCTGTTTGAAAAAAGAATCTAAATCTTTATTTTAGAGTAGTTATCGGAGATGCTCTTAGGTAGCGTTTGACTCACAAAATGGAATTTGCCAACGAAATTGAAATATGAAGAAACTTGAATGAAGTTTAATCATGTTTGACCATGTGTTTGGTTGGTAAAATTAAAATGAAATTTGTCAAAACAATATGAATTTACCTGTTCAGTTTGTTGAATATAACAGTGGTGGTTGGGTAGAAGTGATAGTGGTGTCGATGGTAGTGGTGGTGACAACGACGATGATGGTGGATGAAGGGCACAATGATGACGAGGGTGCGGCGACAACGGTGATGACATTCTTTGTGGTGGGATGAAATAAAATGGAGTAAATATAAAAATATAATACCTTCTTAAAAGATGGTAAGCAGGAATTGAAATTCATTGCTAAAACCCAAAAATTAACCAAACACAATCTTAGGGGCCGCTTACCTAAACACTTACCCGGTAAGCATTTACCGATAAAATTCAACACTATCGTTTACTTACCATGTAAGATTTTATTCATTAAAACGCATCGTATGCAACAATTTATCCCGGTAAGCGCTAACCATGGTAAAAGTCCTCGTATTCACTTACCGGGTAAGACTCTCGATTCTTGTCTTCGTTCTTACCGGGTAAGATTTTTAGTCCTTGTCATATTCATCCGGTAAAGTAAAGTGATTTGATAAGCGCTTACCCGGGTAAGCGTTTGGTAAATGGCACCTTAGTGTTTAATGTTTTTCTTATACGCTAAGCGGCATATTTCTGGGATCTTATGGAACACGAGATTGGCCATGAAATCCCCAAACGAAACCCTTTACACGTGCACCAAATTTATCATCAAACTTATGGCGACTCTAATACGCACTCCAATTGAGGCTAAACGGATACAAATCGTCCCTAGTGTTGAGAGCGGGCAAGATCTTGGCTCTGTTACCTTATGAGAATACGTTGAACCCTATTATATTACAGTTCAAAAGAGCCATTAGAAAAACTCCAGATATCTAAGATCCTTCTCTTTGAATAAGATCTCAATTCCAACGACGGTTTCATTAGATATCCTACAACTGGTAAATCCCTCCTTTTTGATCTTCTAGGAGGTCAAGAGTTTAAACCTCACCAAATGTGATGATGATGTGTGAGTTTATTTATTCTATTTGCCGTACATAAACATCATATACCTAAACAAAAAGATAATCACAACCAGAACCCAAAAAAAATACAATATCTAAATGACAAGAAACAGCCTTACAAACATTAAAACCAAATATAAATCATCATCAAACTTTCAATTATTCAAATCATCATGACAAACAAATAACACATCAATCTACATGTTTTCCAAACTACAAATACATACATCGAATATGCTTGTGTCGTCAATCCGACACTCTGTATAAAACGTCTTCTTTTTCCATCTTGTATACAACAAATTTAGAATAATTATTTCACACGTTCGGTCCCATTTTACTTTAAGAAAAATATACGTATTACAAAGATGAGACCCGACCCGACCCGACCCGTTTGTGATGGAAAGAATCTTGAATTTCTAACCAGAAGTCAAGAAATTCTTGAACCAAATAGCAGAGTTCTTGGCATATCTCTTGAGGTTGTGATCATAATCAACAAAAAAGAGCCCAAATCTTGAACTGAATCCAGCACCCCATTCCCAATTGTCCAACAAAGACCATGCAAAATACCCCTTCACATTGCACCCATCCTCCCTGCTCACCATTCCACCAACACCAAAAAAGGTTAACAAATTCATACTTCTATTTACATCAAACTGTAACGAAATTTGTCTCAGGGGCCGTTTACCAAACACTTACCCGGTAAGTATTTACCGGTAAAATTCAATACTATTATTTACTTACCGGGTAAGATTTTAGTCAACAAAACGGGTTTCTATGCAACAATTTAGCCGGTAAGAGCTGACCGTGGTAAGAGTCATTGCCCTCACTTACGGGGGTAAGACTCTCGGTCCTTGCCTCACTCTTACCGGGTAAGATTCTTGGTCCTTACCATATTCATCCAGTAAGGTAATATAACTTGGTAAATGCTTACCCAAGTAAGCATTTGGTAAACGGCCCCTTAATTCCTATACAATTTAGTGTAACGATAAGCTTATTTCTCAATTACTGCAACAAATGATAAGCTCTTCCTGTTTCATACCCATTTTACCTAATAAACAAGTTTTTAACATTTAGAATATTCTGTTAATTTTGATGCAACATTTTTCTACATTGTCAATAGTTACAAGATTTAAAGGTTATCGGTTAAAATGGATATGAAATAGGTAGAATTAAACGTTTGTTATAGTAATTAGAAAAAAAAATATCAACTAAATATAAAACTAAGGGGCTGTTTACCAAACACTTACACGATAAGCGCTTACTGGTAAAATTTAACACCACCACTTACTTACTGGGTAAGACTTTTTAGTCCACTAAAATGACATCATATGCAACTATTTACCCGGTAAGCGTTTACCATGGTAAGAGTCGTCGCCCTCACTTACCGGGTAAGACCCTTGGTCCTTGTCTCCCTCTTATCGGGTAAGATTCTTGGTCTTTACCATATTCATCCAGTAGGGTAATGTGACTTGACACGTTTTATCAAAGTAAGCGTTTGGTAAACGGTCCTAAGACAAAATCCGTTACGTTTTGATAAATTTTTGGGTTATCAAAGCATTTAAGTGAAAGATCTGAAATGGGCTTACTTGATTGCAGCCAGCAAGTTTGTGAGATAGTCATTATGGTATTTGACCCTTTTCTCATCCATTAGTGCAACTTTGAGAGGGATAAATGGGCTATTTGGGTCATCCATCCCTGTACCATAATATAATATTTACTACTAAATGGTGATATATTATATTTACTACTAACTTTGAGAGGGATAGATGAGATCACTTTTTTACATTTGAAACTTGACAGTAAAACGTTGTGAAGATAAAAAAAAGACCGCACCTTCACAGCAAAAACACTGTGAAGGTTACCTTCACAGCAAGAACAGTGAAGGTTACTTTCACAGCGTTTTGTTTTGAAGTTTCAAGTATAAAAAAGTAGTCTTACGAAAACAGGTTGGTCTGACGTGATCCCAAGTCTATATATATATATATAGAGAGAGAGAGAGAAAAGGTTACCATTTTCAGTGATGATGACGAGAGGATTCCCATATCTGTCCTTGATGTAATTCAATAAGCTTCTAAACCCTTCTGGCACTATGTATAACCATATGGAATTTGCCTGCAAAATCCATTTTACTCTTTAAAATAGAATACAGGTTGGCTTATATCACATAACCTACTTTTGAGTGAGATATACTGAGCTACTTTTGAGTAAGATATACTGAGTTTGTTGGTTTTATTGTGTTAAATGATTACATACCCGATCTCCGATAGCTTTCCCGTTTTTCCATGCTGAAAAAAGTAAGAAAATTTGTACTCTTAGACCATAATTGCTTGTATAAATGACATATAACCGTAGCATAGGCCTAATCTGAGACCTGATGAACCAGTTATTCATCATGAATATGATGTATTTTCATTATGAATAATTTTCGTGTTGAATATATATCATGATATTCATTATGAATAAATTTCTTTATTCAAAGTTATTCATCATGAATACTATATAAAATGGTTGGTTCACCTGTTCTCATTTGAACCTAGCCCATAAGCGATTAGGTGTATATTGTTGAGTTATACAGTGTCGTAACTCAATAATACAACCCTAATTAAAAGGATTGAGCTCCACGATAGGATTCGAGAAAGTGAAAGAGATGTTTTCAGACGACATACGAAGAGTGAGGGAACCCGAATCTGAAAGAGAGTCGTTGAGCAAAGCGCCAATAAGGTTGGTCGAGTTATGCCAAGCATACCACGTTGTGTAGTGATTTACTCCCACAAAATCTATCGATCCCTTGATAAGAGCCGATTGAACTTTAGAAAATTTTGGTAGCCGGTTTCCGACTCTTGTCCTCATCGAACTTGGGTAATCTCCAAACATTATGGGATCGAGAAACCTGAAGTCGTTTTAAGCGAAATATTTTATGCATTTATGTCGTATAATACGTACCGAAAAGAAAAGGTTATACTATGATATGTTAAAAAACGTACCATCCCAATTGGAATTCTTGGACTCGCTGTGCCGCTTCAATGTCCTCGGTTTTGTTTGTACCCGGCACGTACCAAATGGCGTCAAATGCGATCCCTATGCGTCCTTTTTGCTTTGCCTAGGTTGAGACAAAAAAAATACGCGTTTTAAAAAGGGTTGATCGTCAAAAAGACAAACATATTGCTTCATATGTCCTAAAATAAATGTCCACAATAAAAAAAAACACAGAGTTTGTATAGATATGTAGTTATTACAAATTTTTAATCAAATGACAATCTTACCCTTAACAATAGAGTGAACAATGAATATTTCCATCTTATGAGTAAGGACAGAATTGGAAATTAGTTACTTAAAAAAATGCTTACATGTATATATTTACCTTGTATTTTCTTTTGTATAAATCATAGGTGGCTGCATGTGAAAGAAGGACGTTATGACCCACGATGTACGGTTCCGTAGCCGAGTTTCCGGCCCTACAAAACAATCCAAGAAGTATCGAGCAACGTCCAGGTGCTTGAAGACCCACATCGTAACCTTGTACCGTAAAAGTATGTGGTTCGTTAAACGTCATCCAATTCTTCACCCGATCACCGAATTTCTCGAAACACGTATTGGCATACGCCACGAAATCGTCGCTGTGACACAATAAAACCAACGGGATCACGTAACGCGATTAACTAAAGGCGTCACTAATGGTTTTCGGGCTTGTAATCTTTTTTTCAAGCGTCACTAAAAATAATATTAAATAATAATAAAGAGAATAATAAGTTTAATAAATAAATAAATAAATAAAATAATAAAGATTTACATGATTCGAGTGTCGAGCCATCCATTATATTTGTCTGCTAACGCTTGAGGAAGGTCCCAATGGTAGAGGGTCACATATGGTTCGATCCCTATGGTTTAATTTCCAAAATTAAATTATTTTATTTTAATTTCAAGAAAATATAATTTTGTGTTTTTTATTTTATTTATAAGTAAATATGATATAAAATATTATTTATTTAGAGGGTGTTGGGATTGCTTATTTAAAACAACTTATATTTTTATATAAAAGCACTTATCAACTTATAATAAGTCAGATTGGTTTAACTTTTTCAAAAACTCCTTATTACTGGTTTGATACCGGTATAAGTTGCTTATCCAAACACTCAAAAATGCTTATTACCGGTATCACGCCGGAATAAGTCAATAATTTATTTCTATAAGCAATTCCAAACACCCCTTAATATAAAAAAAAATGTACCATGGGCTATTAAAGAATTAATAAGTGCGTTATAATGATCAATTCCAGCCTCGTTGATTTCACCGCTTCCATCTGTCATATAAAAGCCAATAAATTTAAAACGAAACAAATTTAAATTATGATGGAGGTTTAAACGAAAACAGTAATAAATTAAGAGGAAATGAAAACGGTCAAATCAAATGTAAAGTCATATGTGATTTACACTAACGGCCAATGTAAAGGCGTCCAAGCGACATGGCCTGCAACCTCAGGTCGCATCCAAAATCGTGTGAATTACATGTGATTTTATATACACGTGATTTTGGTGTAAATTTATATGTGATTCGGCCGGTTTCTTATTCTCTTATTTTGTTACTGTTCTTCTATGAATCTGACTCATATATATAAAACCAAAACTTATTGAAAAATTCTTACTCGGAAAAATTCTTGACCATGAGATCGAGAATCTATAAGCATCCATGCCCATATCTTTCATTAATTGTATATCACCCTGTTTCGACCATCGAAACAAGTAAATCTTTTTTTCAAATAAATCGGAATCAGATAAATAATGATATAATAAATAATACATTTTGTATTAAAATCATTTAGCGTTTGCCACTTCTACTTTAGAAGAAACCCTAGCCCGAAAAATCCGGCATTTTTTCTAAGTACAAAAATCCCGACAATCTTTTTAAAATATAGAAAACCCGAAAAATTTCATGGCATGTTTTGTTTTGTGTTTAACGGAAAGGTGACAAGTTAGTTGAGCTAAAACCATCGGGTCCACATAGGTCATGCTGCAAATAGCTAAAACCCGAGTTTTTGTTCAGCATCTAAATTCTTATAAAAACTTATGATTAGACAAGAAAAGAAATTTTTTATAAAAGGACAAATTGCATGAAAAAGTAACGTGCTTTAACTTGATTCTTATTTTGGATAACGTATTTTTAGAACTTCAATTTTTTAATACCTAAGATGTAAAGTTTTAAACATCACATCAACATGGTAACCGGTTAATGTTTCAACCGGTTATCCGGATACTTAAATGTTTAAAACTTTTCATCTTATGTACCAAAATGAAAGTTTTGAAAGTATGTTATCTAAAATAAAAATCAAGTTAAAATACGTTACTTTTTCGTGCAATTTACTATTCGTAAAAACCCTAACAAACACATTTATTTTAAATGTTCTAAAGGATAAAAGAGGGGTTACTTGCCTCATATAAGTGATATTGATCAACTGCAACATCAGCATTACTGAAATCAGTTACCTTACCTGCAAAATTACAAGGTCATAATTGTAATTTTACATTAAATTTCAAATTAAGGACAATACATTCATTAAACTGAATATAAGCCCCTTAAATTTGTTTTTTTCCTGTTTAGAATCCCTCTTTTTATCACAATTACAATTAGACCCTCCGATTATATTTCAAATACTACGCCTCTAGAGAAATAAGATTATCCAATAAAATAAAGAATAAATTTCGTTTTTCATCCCTGTGGTTTATAATTTATTGTGATTTTCATCCCTGTAATTTACAATTCACTGTTATTTTCATTCTTACAATGTATAATTTTTTACTGTTTTAGTTCTTATGATTTACAATTCTTTGCTTTTTTGCCCCATGTACTTAAAGATAAGGTAGGAGTTGAGCTTAGGGACTAAAATAACAAAGAATTACGAATCATAAGAACAAAAATCATAAAATCTGAACTATAGGGACTTACATAGCAATTATTAACAAACCACAAGGACAAAAATCGTAATTTACTCTAAAACATAAAAGAAGAGACATTACCAAATGTATGAGCAAATGTATCCCAAATAGCCGGACCCCTCCCATCTTCCTTCACAGCTCCTTCATACTGTATATATACATACAAAATTATAAATAAAACGAAAAATATATTTTAATAAATATCGTATTCAGATATATTCTCAAATCTAATTTCTAGAATTTCAAATAAACAGTATAACCCGACCCAGCTCATCCTATCATAAAATACCGCAATTTACCTTCACATGATTCTTGTATAAAGTATTTTGAAAAGTGACGCAAACCCTTATTCATAACTCTAACCTTTCCATAAATAGAAAGTCTACTATTATTTATCATGTATAAAGTAATTTTAAAAGTAACGCAAACCCTTATTYATRACWCTAACCTTTCCATAAATAGAAAGTCTACTATTATTTATCATGTATAAAGTATTTTGAAAAGTTCTAACATTTCCATAAATAGAAGGTATACGATTATTTATCACGTGATCTAGCCATTGCCCATTAGGATCACTGCCATCAACAATACATTGATTGGTTGAAATTACCTTCTTCCAGCTTTATTTATCCATGGCTAATTAACTAATTTAAAAAATAATAATAAAGAATTTTCTTTCTAAAAAAAGAAATCCTTTTACAAAAATGGAAACCTTACCTTTTATGGGAAGGGACAAGAAATATGCATAAGGAATCATATATTTCCTTGAATTGTACTCCAACTTACCAATTTTTTTAGTTTCTTTATTCAATTTGGCCTTTTTTTATGACCTTTTTTTTATGTCTGTTAGGTGACGATGCCTAAAGATAAAGAATCAGATACACAAGAACTATAAAGAATACAAAAATATGGGTCCCTGAAGATAACAGTCGGCTCGCATAGCGAGTTGGATATCCAGATTAATAAAAAAGAAAGATAAAAGTCAGAAAAATCCTAACTAATTCTATAGAATCCTGAAGATTGCAACAGGGTATTTTCCGATGGCCTTGAGAAGGCTCAAATGATCGCCCTGTGTGGGAATGAACACAAGGACCTAGCATTTATCTGATCATGAGTGAGAAAACTCTGATTGGGTTATATTTCTATACTTAAAACTCTCTTAATTATATTAAATAAGAGATACATCATTACCAAATTCCCTAACATTAGTTATAAAATCCAACTAGAAGAGATGATATCTGATGTGTGCAATGATTTTAATCAGACTCTATGTATAAAGATCGTAAAAGCAAAAACAACTTTTTCAACTATCAAACTCAACTTTATCGAAATTTATTTAAAATCTATCCAATCACAACGAAATGAACGCCGGTAAAAAAATGCTACAACAATTTATACCATATAATATTATTAAATGTTGGTACTTTTAGGATCAGACAATTCGTAAACAGCAATACATCATGCTATTTATAGAACGGAGTTTATATGTGAATTATTTGAAAAACTCATTTAAAGAAATACATATATCTTTAAATAGATTTTTCGGTATTATCTTAATAATTCTAATATAAACCATACATTAACCTTTTATATATATATATATATGGCTGTTTTTATGAGACAATCTTTTTACATTTCAAACTTCATATTTTTGTTGTTGAATGTTCGGCTTCTTTTTACTTTCACTGTATTTTACTGTAAAGTTTTAAGTGTATAAATGTTCTCACACGTGGAGTCAACCATATATATATATATATATAGAGAGAGAGAGAGAGAGAGAGGAGTGATCATATGAAAACCGCCCTCATTTGTGTAAACCGTGCAAACCACCTTCATCTGTCGATTTCATTGTTTAATCTTATGAAATTTTTTCATGAAATTGTTTAATCTTGTGAAATTGTTTCATATAATACTTTT